TGGTAAAGATGCGTAAATACACCAAGTGCCAATTACAAACTAGGGAAGGCAACAAAAGCGGCAAGTCTGAAGCCTCACCATCAACTGTGCCAGTCTCGGAACCCTGAAGAGGAACGCACCAGGAAGTGACCCGGAGGTCCAGGGCCACCATCCAGGCACCCGACCCAAACAGAAGCTGGACCAGAGACAACAGCCCTCCGAAGATGGCACAGAAACCAGGACGCAGACTAAACAAGTCGAGAGGAACCGCAGATCCGCAAGACCTGTGTCTGCATAGAGCAGAAGGGAACCCCGGAAGGATGGGGCGGATCGACCACGTTCAAATGCACCCACCAAGATGACATGATGAAGCACAGGGAAAGAAGCCCACCCTGCCAGCCATGAACCCCCAAAGGAGGAGAAGCCGTCCGGCACTACCAGAGGCCGGAAGACACCAAAAAACGCCCATTAACTGGGGAACCAAGCGAGAGCCAACAGGGCAAGCCGTTTGCCCAGCGCCCCGTCAACAGCGAAGGGAACGGAGCCCATTCCGAAAGAAAGTGTATATCTATATATGAATACACACACATAGGTATGTACATGCGCATACACACATGTGTACACACAAGTGTACACATGTACATGTATATATGTGTACACACATACACATATGTGTGTATGACAACACGTGTGACACCACGAGCGTAACTCTCATCCTGTAACTACACTTAGGTAATTACACACACACACACTTATGGGGCCTCGTAGCCTGGTGGATAGCGCGCAGGAATCGTAATTCTGTGGCGCGGGTTCGATTCCCGCACAAGGCAGAAACAAATGGGCAAAGTTTCTTTCACCCTGAATGCCCCTGTTACCTAGCAGTAAATAGGTACCTGGGAGTTAGTCAGCTGTCACGGGCTGCTTCCTGGGGTGTGTGTGTGGTGTGAAAAAAAAAAAAAAAAATAGTGTAGTTAGTAAACAGTTGATTGACAGTTGAGAGGCGGGCCGAAAGAGCAAAGCTCAACCCCCGCAAACACAACTAGGTGAAAACACTACGAGGGCCTCGTAGCCTGGTGAAAACACTACGGGGGCCTCGTAGCCTGGTGGATAGTGCGCAGGACTCGTAATTCTGTGGCGCGGGTTCGATTCCCGCACGAGGCAGAAACAAATAGGCAAAGTTTCTTTCACCCTGAATGCCCCTGTTACCTAGCAATAAATAGGTACCTGGGAGTTAGTCAGCTGTCACGGGCTGCTTCCTGGTGTGTGTGTGTATGTGTGTGGTGTGGGGAAAAAAAAAGTAGTTAGTAAACAGTTGATTGACAGTTGAGAGGCGGGCCGAAAGAGCAAAGCTCAACCCCCGCAAACACAACTAGGTGAATACACATGAAAAGAAAAGAAAATAATATAAAGAAAAGAAAAATACAAGCCGCTGACCAGTGGGCAGAGAGCACCACGCCGGCCAGGCGAAGAAGGCACAAAGAAAGCACAAAACTGCATCAAAAGGCCCACCTCAACAACAAAACCCAAGGCCCCGGCACGACCACAACACGTGCCAAGACCCAAAGAGATCAGCCTGCAAGCCAGGAAGACCCCAGAACCCCAGAAGGCAGAACTGAGTCACACATGAGGAAACAAAGTCCCTGAACCCACAAAGGGGGCCCAAGCGGAAGAAACCTCCGGAACGAAACCAAAGAACCTAAAGGAACCCAGAATCGATCCGGGGGGGGGGGGGGGGCAAACTACCACATTTGCTGGTGGAAATACACCACAGAAAGGCCAAGCACAACCCCAAGACAGAACCCCCAGGGAAATGGCCAAAACAGACCGAAAACCGAGGGACAAGGTGTGGGAGCAAGCATAGACAGGGACAATGAGCCCAAACCTTAAGGCCCAGACCCAAAACAGACAGAAAATGGAAAAACTGGTGTAAAAACTAACACCCAAGTGTTCACAGAGGAACAGAAGACGGACAGAAAACACCAGAAAAGCAAAGAAACGGCAACTGGAGAATAAAACCCCTGAAAGAGGTGAAAAACTCACCCAAGATGCTAGCTTGCACACCCAGGCGCATGTAAACAAACCGCAGCGCCGCCCTGGTGGCCACGCCGGGAAATGGCAGAAGTAAATGGCCACCAGAAACAGGGGGGCCGTGACCGACGCAATAGATACTAAAACATGCCAGCAATTGTGGGAAGCAAGCAGATAACCCAGGCAGGGGCAAACAGCCCCAGAACTACTAGCAGGCATCCCCCACAGCCCCGGAAACCTGCAACAGAGGCCCAGGGGCACAGCCGTCCTCCACACCCTCTGCCCTTGAAGAAAAGGAAGTGTCCAGGGGAAAGGCAGCAAGAAAGGGCCACTGGTAAGACCCAGAAGCCTTGGCAGGAGAAACAGGCTCGAAAACCTCCATCCCCAACCCGAACGGGGCAGCCCCCGAAACCGCCCGAGTCTCGACCCCAACTAAACCCCACCCCGACCCTGAAACCCGCAGATGGTCAGGAGCCGGGAACAGGGAAGGAAAAGGGCGTACAGCACCTAACCAAAACGGGGCGGCCCCGGGGCATCTGAGTGGGAAACCAACCTAGCGAGTTGCAGCAACCTAAACCAAGCTTGCAACGTGGATACTGCATGTACTCTGAACAGTAATAACATCAGGAGAGTACTAGAGAACAAGCAGAGAACAACTCGCAAGACTCCGGGTCAAGGTGTAAGTGAGACCTAACAGGCAGCATGGAGGTAAAAGTGGCGACTATCTCCCGGAGACAAGGGCACAGCAACCAACGAACCCGCACAAGATGGGTTAGAACCCGGAAGACACATTCAATGGTCCACCGAGCCCCAACAGGGTTTTCCAGGGCCGGTATGGTAACAACTACGGGAAGCCCGGGCAAGGAGTTGCTAACCGGTTAAAACCCAAAACTAACAAGGGGTAGAGGACAACACTGAAAACCCTGTAACGTGTACAATCACGGGGGCCTAGCAGAGAGCCACCAAACACTACCAGTGGAACTATAGCCACACTAGGTAGGCCCCCACAAGGCAAATAAAAATAAAAAAAGAAAAACCCCGCAAAGATACACTGTCCCCAGAGGCAACAGGAACTGGTCGCCGCTTAGGTGGCAGGTCGCGCAACACCTTGACGCTCTAATCAGCACAATACCAATCCCTACCCAAGGCCAAACAAGGGCCCCAAGCCCCAGCTGGCCCCAAGGGGTGAGGCAAATGCTGGGCAGCAAGAACCTCTACGGGAATGGTTCCCGAATGCCCCAAGGAAGATAACCCTGTCACATAGGGGCATACTCACAGGGCGCTTAGGGAAGGAAGCCCCTAAGTGCATGCAGCCCCAGTACTGATGAGGAACACCTGGCTACCACACAACACAACACACGGCAGTGAACGCCACGAAAGGCAAACACCGACTAGGAAACTGAGGCCAGAGAAGCATCTGTCGCGGTTGACATTAGCTTACGAACTGATGCTAGGCAGCCGGCACGGTTAGGTCCGGGGGGCCCCCTCCCCCTCTTGGGGCGAGGAGGGCTGCGCGGACAATTGGCGCAGCAGTAAAGTGTGATGTTTCCTTGTTTGTTTGGGATTGTAGGGCATTTCTACCTCTCTGTTCAGTTTTCTGTTTTAGTTTTTTACCATGTGGTGTTTGTTTTGTTATGCCTACCTTTCTGAGTGCATAACCCCGGTCGATGGCAGATATGGAAAACCCCAACCACAAGGGGGTTTTCCAGGGCCGTTGCTCCCTGAAACCTCTATGAAGGGGCCAGGTTCTGGCACTGGCCCCTGGTAGGTCTGAACTCCTTAGCTAATGTCCCAGTCTAATATAACATACATTAGCTCGATAAGCTCCAGGGAGCCGTAGGGGCTGCCCACAGAAGAAGAAGAGAGAGAAAAAAAAAAAAAAAAAAAAAAAAAAATTGAAGACGGTTGTTGGGGCTGGACGGATGGAACGAATTCTGCACTGGAACGAATTGGCTTCGCCCCATATAGTTTGTTCAAGTGAAGACACACTGTATAACGTTAGTGTGATTTTCGGTGTGTATCTGAAATTGCAGCGTACGGTGTTGAATTACTTAACCCTCCACCCAAGTGCTTGGGGGTCTTATGTAAAAATTGGACTGGCTTCAGAAGAGGCCTCCAGACATCCTGTAATTTCATTAGAAATCCTGTTGTAAGGTTTTTACTAAGTCATTGATTGTACAGTGGTAGAGTTTGCAGCTGGAAATGCCTTGGTTGCAGGTTTGTGTCACCTCACAGCCCCAGTGGATTTTCTCAATAATAATAATAATAATAATAATAATAATAATAATAATAATAATAATGATAATAATAACAATAACAATAATAATAATAATAATGTTGAGAAAATCAGTAGGAGCCATGAGGAGGATTGGAAGCTATGCTCTGGGCACTCCCAAGCAATGCCTTAGACCACTACACCAGACCCAACAGTGTACCCAGAGCATAGGTTTGAATCCTCCTCACGGCTCCTACTGATTTTCCCATTGTACATCTTGTTAATGTGATTTCCTTGTGTATGTGACTAATAATGATAATAATGATAATAATAATAATAATAATAATAATAATAATAATAATAATAATAATAATAATAAATCCTCTTTATTCACAAGAATGTGTGCATACAAAGAACATACGAGTAATGTACAATTGTAGGGACAGGAGTTCTATATACTAATGAAGCCACTATTATGTAATGCATTTCGGGCAAAACATAAAATAGACAAAAAAATTTAACTACAGTATTGTCTTCCAGTTAGTTAATTCGTATTTCATAGATAGATGATCCTATGCTTATAGTAAGGATGATTTTTTATACGAGTAAAATGCTCATGTACTTACAACAATATTTCAGAAAGCAGTGACATGAAAACTATTTTTGAATATGTATCAAAAATAAATTTGAGTACATAGCGCTTAAGAAATGTATGCTAGAGCTGAGGTAATTGATGTTATGTAGTATTATTAAATCAGACTTTACTATGACAACTCACCATTCAGAGAAAATATTTGAATACGCTAATGAATTTTCAGCCTTTGGCGAGACAAAATACATTGGTATCAGCGACAGTCCAATGTTATCGAGGTGATTTGACAGGCATTCAAAAAGGTCGTACACGACTCCACTTGGATAGCACGGGACAAGAGCATTGCCACCATTTCGAACAGTTTGAGCTGAAAGGAAATAAGATGTAAGAGGACATGAACAAGACTATATTGTTTTCATATTTGCATCTCTTTGTCTTCCAGTGAAAACAGTGGAATTTTGTTAATCTTAAAAGGTTCTACAAAACAACTACTGTATTAGCTCACTAATCCGGACTATATGGGTAGGACCCCCAGCCGGATTAGCAAGTTTTCCAGATTAACATACGTTTTCACTGGGAAGTCCAAAAGAGACCATTTCCAATATTTTTATGCCACAAACAAAATAATTTGAATTGTTAAACCTTTTTTTCCCCCACACACTATAATTAGTGTATGGAAATGGGTGGGTGGTTAGCTGCTTGGTTGGTAGGTGGGCAGGGCAAGTGGGTGGGCAGACAGGTGGGTGAGTGGGCAGGCAGGTCAGGTGGGTCTGACACCCACCCCTGACACCCACTCCTGACCCCCCACCCACCCCTGACACCCACTCCTGAACCCCACCCACCCCTTACATCCACCCACACTCCAGCCTCCCTGCTTGCCTGAAGCCCCCTAGCTTGTCTGCTGGATGCCTGACTCCCTCCTCTCCTGGTGATGGTGCACAATTAGTGTTAGGCCGGGCATTTCACTTGTTTCTCTCTTAGTGGTAAAGGTTCACATGTTATATTCTGAGGCAAGTCGACCCTTGGTTTTGGAGAGATTTTTAGGCTTCAAATTCTCTATCAGTATACAGTACGCTGATCTAGCCAAATATCCACTAGTCCGGCTTCAATGGACATTTTGGCCGGATAGGGTGATAACTTTACCGGCCACAATTTTTACCGGATTAGGGCATTTTCTGGATGGGTGGATCCTAGATTAGTGAGCTTCTACAGCACTGTAATACCAAAATTATTTACAGTAAACATTCAGTAAAATATATTTATAAAACATTTGACAATGAAACAATTTATATATAAATTGATCTTATCTAACAAACATAACAAATACAAGGATGCCAAACAGCAACAAATTATCAGCCGCAAATGTGGACACTAAGCGGAAGAAAAGCAATGAAACTCGGAATTTGCATTTTGTCATTTTTCAACTTTATTTATAATACTGAACAGCACAACCTTGATAGAATGAACTAATTGTCATGGGATAAACTTTGAACTTTCACGGGTTTATGTTTTATCAAAGTTTTTGCTGTACTGTATCTCTATTAATTGGAATTCATATAGCAGAGACACATTCAAACACCCAAATAATATATAACCAATGAATTTTAAATACTGGTATTGTTAGGTAAAAGAATAATAAATTGTGTTATATTTTCCTTCTGTTTTCTAAAAGTCAGCTTTGTTCTGATAATCCATTGCAAGCAGAATATTGGTAGACACTAACCGTGTTCACTTTTCTCAAGCATTTTAGCCCTTTCCTGTATGGTATGATGTTTTCACATTCCCTACCAGGATTAGCCTTACCAATTCAGCTGTGTAGAGATCTTTTCTGGCTTCAGATAATAAAATATCCAGAGAAAAATGGGATTAATGAGGCAACGCATCGCTTACAGAGGGAAAGATTACATACTGAACTTGAAAAATGGTCAGTCAATAATACTTGGCCAGTACACCATGAGAACAATTCACAAAACAGTTGGTATTGCACAGTTTGTAATAAGAATACAACTACTGTACCCGGTACAGTAGTTGAAAACTAATATAAATATGATATTTTTTGTTAATAGTGATGGCTTGAATGTAATGAAACTGCCTTTTCTGGTGGGGTCCTCAGTAAGACACCTAAGCTAAGCACTGGTTCAGTCAAGCTTTAGGGTGATGCACCAGGGCTATGAGACCCACCTTTTTTTTCCAGAAGCCAGGACCAGTCTGGCTTTCTTTCCAAGGTAAGTGAAGCTTGGAGAACAGAGATCAACCCACAAGTGAGTAAAAAACCAGTGTTGAATATAATGAAATGCCATTTTCTGGGCGAGTCCCGTAGGCTCCCCAGAGCTATCCAGGCTGATATGTACTGTATATCCCTAAACTTTGGCATCAGTCAAGAGTGGGTTGAGTTCTAGGCCTACTGAGGACCATGACCAGAAGCTGGCCCCCCCTCAGAGAGGCGCGAGGAGCCAAGGCCTATTGAAATGCACATGGGATTTCGGAGCATTCAATATCTGCCATCGACTGGGACAGGGACCCAGAGGGTAAGTGCCTCAAAACAAACCCTATTCTTGTTAAAAGTACTAAAACAAACTAGTGGACAGAACTCCCCAAACGAAAACGAGCAAACGAGCATGACCCCCGCGCCAGCAATCCACACCTCAGTTCTGAGGCTGGACATCAAAACACGCGAAAAAAACCCCAACCGGAGGGAGGGAGGGTTGCTGGGACTCATCCAGAAAATGGCGTTTTATTACTTCAACACTGGTTTTCTGGGGAAAGCCCCGTTGGCTCCCTGGAGCTACCTACCAAAAGACAAAAACCATAGGGACTTATACGGTAGGCGGTTGCTGCTCACACCTCAACTAGAAGTCGAGACATCTGGTTGCAACCGCCGACCCAAAGCAACATAGGCCCGACGAGGCCCGGAAATGTTCACCAAGTAACACGCAGCCAAGACCCTGTTCAACCTCCAAAAACCCTGTGCCCAAATGTCAACCTAAGACATATTACCAAAAACAGCAGCAAGGGCAGCAAACTTACGAATGTCATGGGCACGGGGATAGACTGCAGGCTGGCTAGAATGAATATACCTGCGGACAACCTGGAAGACCTGTACCCTGGAACAGGGAAGAAGGGAAACCAGATCAACCCAAAGCGCATCCCCAGCCATAGAGCCCGTGGCACACAAATAACGGTGAAGAGCCGCAACCTGACAACACATGATGCACAGAACCAAAGGAGCAGAAACCCCTCCACCGGAGGAGAGCATGAAGCTCCCCGACCCGACCCCTAGAGGCCAAGGCCGACAGGAAAAAGAGCCATAGAGAAACAATCCTGAACTGAAGGGGCCACTACAAAGCAAGGAGAAGAGAGATAAGAAAGCACTTTGTCAAGCGACCAGGACAGCTCAAGCGGCGCATAAGCAGGCCTGAGGTGAAACAACACACGAGACAGCTTGCAAAATGGTGCAGAAGTAACATCAATACCAAAAGCAAGCTGCAGCAGCTCCGCCAGCACTGCACGATAGGAGGCGACAGTATTCTGCATAAGGCGATGATCCTGGAAACCAAGAAAGGACAAAACAACCTTAACCGACAGTGAAGTATACCTATGGAGTGAAAGAAAGAAACGGAAGGACCGCCAAGAGACTTCATACTGCCGCCTAGACGAAGCTCGCAGGTGGGACACCAACAAAGAAGCCACCTGATCATCATAGAGATGATAAACCTGAGTAAAAAATACCATACGCAAAGACTCGAGGAGAAGATCGAACCACCCAAGTGATGTAACAGTCAGATCTGCTGGAAGAGGCGGAGTCGCGGGAAAACCTCCAGGTTCGGACACTGCAAGCAGCGCCTGAAACCAAGTCTGGGTCGGCCACCATGGGGCCAAGAGGACTACTTTCCCCCTGATAAGTCTCCAAGCGAGTCAGGATCTGGAGCAACAGTTGAACCAGAGGAAAGAGGTACAGGAATCTCCACCTCGACCAGTCCTGCCGAAAGGCATCAACCCTGGCGGCTTCGCAGTCGGGAAAGGGCACCACATATACTGGAAGGCACCGCGACCACGCCGACGAGAAGATGTCCACCTCCAGGCGCCCGAATGTCTGGCAGAGCCAATGGAAGGAGTGGGCATCGACCGTCTATTCTGTGGACAGGGGAACGAAACGAGACAGGCCGTCCGCCAAGACGTTGAACACCTCCCGAACGTGAACTGCCAGGAGAGCCAAACCCCGAGAATTCAGCAGACGAGTCACCCGAAAAGACCAGCGCCAAAGAGCTAATGAATGCATTGAACCTCCATGGTTCAGACAATGAACCACCGGGGAGCAGTCCGAATGGAGCCGGATCGTCGAACCGCTGGCGACCTAAGTCCTAAGAAGAGAAAACCACACCGCTGAGAACTCCCGCACTGTGCTGTGTGCCCGATGGAAGGATGGACCCCACCTCCCCTGGCCAGCCTGGTGAGCACTGGTCACAAAGCCCCAGCCGAGAGATGACGTATATATGAACACATCGAGCGAGGGCTCGGGTAGGCGCCAAGGCACTGAACCCTGAAAAACCCAAAGAGGAAGCCGGTGATGCAACAACCGGCACAAAGCCCCTGGGGGTGAACCCAGCAAGAGAGGCGGAAGGGACATCCCCGAAGGAACCAGAACAGGCGACGCAACCAAACCTGACCCAGCGGGCAGACCGACATCGCAAAGTTCAGGCTCCCGCACAGACCCTCGAGCAACTGCCGGGAGACTTAGGAGCCCTCCAGAAAAGGGCAAAGGTGGGACCGCAGGCAAAGCAGAGAATCTATAGGGAGAGACAAGGAAGCGGTCTGAGAGTCCCAAGCAAGACCCAGTCAAGTCCGAACCTGGGAGGGGACCAGATGGGACTTCCTCCAGTTCACCAAGAACCCGAACCTGGCGAGCTGGGAAAGAACCAAATTCCTGGTTAGCAGACCTGCGGACTGGCTGGGAGCTCATACCAACCAGTCGTCTAGGTAGGCCAGCACCCAAGCACCTATAAGATGCAGACGGGCCACCACGACTCATTTAAGGTGTGTGAAAACGCGAGGTGCCAGGTTCAACCCGAACGAAAAACAACAAAAGCGGTAACTCTGATGCCCCACAACAAAACCGAGCCAGTCCCTGAACCCCGAATGAATCAGGGCATGCCAATACGTGTCCTGGAGGTCCAGGGACACCATCCAAGCACCCTGCTCCAACAGAAGCCAGACCTGGGACAGCGAAGTCATCCAAAAAGAGGGGCAATGAACCCAGGGGTTCAGACGGGACAAGTTCAGAATGAACCACAGGTCCGCACAGTCCTGTTTCGGGACTGGAAACAGGCGGAAGACCCACCTGAGGGACGCCGTCATTTCAGCCACGTC